CGGCAGCGGCTGCACAGGCGGTGGCGGCGGCCGCGGCAGCATCACACACTTACACACTCACAGGGGGCGGAGCCTGGACAGCTCGAAGCCGCGACATGGAGCAGGCACGTTATCATCCCCGGATCTGGCAGGGGCTTGCGGTGCCCGCCCCCGCCGTTCAGGAACCCCCTCCCACCCCCCACTGTCAAAATCAGCTAGTGGGAGCGGCCACAGAGCTGAGGACCCGGACCCGGACCCGGACGCAGACCCGGACCCGGGACGCAGGGGCCGCCGTGGCAGGGATACAGGAGGTGGGCTGGCGGGACCCGGACGCTGGCTTGGGGAATGCCACCCCTCTCTGAAACCCAGCCCACCCCCCGCCCCACTGGGAATTAGTTTCGATCTAGAAAAGACAGCACAAACAGCCCTGGGGTTGAAGGTCGCCCCCTGTCACCTCAAGCACAGCTCCTTGAGCCCCCGAGTAGTGGAACAAACTTTTGCGGGCCTGAGCATCCCTCAGGTCTGTAGTGCGTAGCATGCGGGTCCAGGAAGGAGAAGGCGGTCACCTTCACCGTCCCCGTGGCTCCACGTGCCCGCACCCAGGCCCTCCAGGCATGCCTTTAGGCGCGCACCTAGTAGGTCGGCGAGCTGTAGGCCCTGGATTCAGTGGGCTGCAAGGATAGGAACAAATGACTGCCCTTGTGTGGTCCTTGAGTTCGGGGTTGGGACACTGTTAAACTGGGTTCCACTGTCACTTTCCTCGCACAGTCACCAAGTGCCTTGAGCAAAAGACTTCTGCACGCTCTTCCTCTGAGAAATGGGAAAACCACTGGGTGTGTGCCCAGTATCCCACGCACCGGCTGCCCGTCTCCCTTCTGGCCTGAAATTCTCTTTCTGCACGTGGAGGGTTTAACAGAGCCTCCTACTCCCTTCAACCTCCACCTCTGGTCCAGGAAGGGGCCCCAGGAAGGGGTGGATCCCTTTAGCCAATTCCCTGGAGGGAAAGGTTCCCTGGCCTCCTTGCAGAGAAAGGCCTGTGGGAAGGGGCGGGACCGGTTTCTGGCATTTCAGGACAGGAGCATTCTGGAGTCCCGGGCATCTAATTTGCCTTCTTCGTATCGTTATACAGAGGGAATAGTATTGGCATATTATTCAAATCCTAAGGATAGAACTCTCTTGGGAAGGACAGTAGACTGAACCCTGACAGAGCAGGGTGCCCGTAGCTCTCTGTGTGACTCCAAGCAAGTCACTTATCTGAGCCTCAGTTTCCCCATGAAACACCCAGCAGCCCTCTGGCTCATACTTCTCTGACATTCTCCCTTCTATTTGAATATGCTTCTACAGTATTATCTCATATTACCAAAATCATCCAAATAGCTTTTAACTTCATTTTTTTTCCCTGAAGAAACAGAGGCCCCAAGACATTAAAATACTCAAGATCTGATATTTCCCCTAGAGGGGGATCCCAGATTAGAACCTAGAACCTGGGAAGCTCTTCCAGGGCTGAAGCCAGTAGAAGGTGCCTCAGCTCCAACCATGAATGACTTCAGCATTTGAGCTACAAGGGACCCAGGGTCTGGTCTCTTTCACATTGTTTTATGCGGGGGGAAAAAAGCACATCATTAACATAGAGAAACAAGGCTCTGCAACTCAAGCATCCAGTGGGACTTTGCTTAGATTTCTATTTACTTTGCATGGGACCAAGTCCTCAACAGATACTGGTTGATTGATGGAAAATCAACCAGTGGGCAGCCAAGGGGAGACTACATCTCAAAGTGACTTGTAGATTTGGCTACCTATAAACTCGGATGGTCAAAAAGACTATGGAGAAACAGTTATTGGCAAAAATGGTGCTGGGGATTTTCAAATTATCTCTGTGCCTTGTTTATTCATAGAATTCTAGTATTCGGCCCTATTCTGGGAGCCTTTAAAGCAACAAGGACGGCCTCGCTCAGATCTGTGGCCCACAACCTTTATGCCTTCAGTAAAAAATCCTCAAATTGGATTTGATTGCTAATGATTGTTGCCAGCATTAGTACTTGATCTGCTTGAAAATCCTTACAGGAAAGCCAGAACATCTACAATTAACATTTAAATGGTGATTATGGTCACTTTATTTCTGGTTTACTTTTCTCAAAAAATTGTATTTAATGGGGAAAGATAGAAAAACAAATAGTATGCTAAGGAAACAAATTTTCAACAGAAATAAAGCTTCCCCTTTAAGAGTTCCAGCCCCCCATCACTCCACTGGTGCACTTTCTTCCCAATCAGCAGGAGGACCAAGCAGAAGCAGAAGGAGCCAGCAAGAGGCAGCACTATGAACAGAAGTGCCTGCGGGAAGGAGAGAAGAGACAAGCGGTGCCAGCTGCTGCTTCAAAAGAGGGGCAGGGGCTTTCCCTTCCTGAGATCAAAACCAAGCAGGAAGGTTGAGTTGGGTAGAAGGAACTCCCACTTCCTAGCCACGCTCCTCAAACAGAGATGAGGCTAAGACAAGCAACACTGAAGGGGCCAGGCTGTCCCTGAGGTCTCTTGGCCCGGGCCTGGCACCTGCTCACTGAGCATCAGCTACTGGGCAAGATAGAAGCTTTGTCTTCTCTGATCCAAGGTGTGTTTTTTCCCTTCCTCCTCACTCTGTGCATCTCTGGCTGTGATGGGGCCAGGGGCCCAAGAACTCAGCTCTTCAATGAATCCTCAAATATTCGGGCAGGATGCTGGATCCAAGCCATGCTTCCTCCACCAAAAGCTAGCAGGAGGGAGGAGAAAGCACTTTGCATGGAGGACAGTAGCAAGAGGAAATAAAAAGGCTATCTGGAGGGAGGGCCCACTGCTGCTGTCATACTGGGATCATCTAGCTGTCATCTAGCCTGTGGTGGGGATTCAGTTGCTTCCCTCTCATTCCACTCACTACGGCATCTTAGCTAAGATGGAATATTCCTCCTCACCAGCCTAAATGCCCTTGTTTTGGCTGGAAAAGCTCCTTTCTTACCTAGCAAAACCCACCTCAGGCCCCAGTTTCAGAACTCTCAGTTCAACCGAATATTTTAGAAACTGCAGGCACAACCTTCTCTCCCTCTGATTCTTCTCCCTCTGTTGACTTCTCCCATTCTGACTGCCTCCCCTGTCCCTGCCAGTGCCTCACCAATTTCCCCTAGTCACAAAACCCCAACCAAAAGGAACCTACCGGGAGAACCCATGGGCCAACAGAAAGCCATCTTTTCTGACAGGAAAGGATCAAAACTGAGACTCCATGACTCAATCCATTGAGATAAAACCAGAAATTGTTTTTAAGAAGGTTTGGTTTTATAGAAATGCTGATTTTCAGATTTTCTAAAGTGAGATTTTTGACTTGAATTACTTTTAAAGGAGTTTAATTTGTAGTCTCCAGGTACTAATCTTTGTTTCAAAGAACTTGAAATCCTCCATTTGTACAATTGTACTAAAGGCAATGTCATGTAGATTCGGGTAGATAGTGTCTAAAAATTAGGATTAATTTAAGAAAGTTGCACTGTGCATGTCAGTTACAGGAAATGAACAAATTGACAGCGTGTGATACATGTGTCATTGTGTCACACCACAGATTTCCACTTAAAATATGAAGCATTTGTTTCTGACCTGGTATGCTGTCAGGCTGACTTACTTTCTAGGAAGAACTTATGATCCAGGATACAGTTCATTCGGGGAAGCTTGCTGTAAAGAATTCCATGGACACCATGGGGACTACCACCTTTCATAACTGTGGCTCCTCTTCTGACAGAACCACTTGGTGCTGCCGTGAGTTTAGAATGGAGTGACATGACTCTGAATTTGGGGCAGTTTCCACACATGGGCTGCAATATCCAGAATGATCCTTCTAAAGATATACTTCAATTTTCTTTTTTTTTTATTTTTTTTATTTTTTGAGATGGAGTCCCACTCTGTCACCTAGGCTGTAGCGCATGGGCAGTGGTATGATCTCGGTTCACTGCAACCTCCGCTTTCCAGGTTCTCCTGCCTCAGCCTCCTCAGTAGCTGGGATTACAGGGACACGCCACTACGCCCAGCTAATTTTTTGTATTTTTTAGTAGAGATGGGGTTTCACAATATTGGCCAAGCTGGTCCCGAACTCCTCACTTCAAGTGATCCACACACCTCGGCCTCCCAAACTGTTGGGATTACAGGCATGAGCCACAGTGCCCAGCCTATTTCAATATCAGTTCTCCCTAGAAACTGTAAGCCTCATGAGGGCAGGGCCTGAGTCTATGTCGTCAAAGCCCAGGATGGTATCTGACACATACTAGGCCCTTCCAGGATCTATCTAACCAGCCTCTGTATAGGTAGCAATCTCAGGAGTTGATTTCAAATTGGGTCAGGACAATTCTCTGAACTTCCTGAATATGCATATGTATTTTTTTTTCACAACTCCTGTTTCTACCATTTATATTTTGGATCTCAATCAGATATCATGATTGAAAGAACCTACCCTTGAGTTTTCTGGTTATCATAGGTAATGATCCCATTTCAGAGCTCTTCTAAAGTCCCTGGCTCTGGATTCCTACTAGGTCCTAAATATGAAACACCATGTGACCTTATGTCAATCATCTGCTTA